ACTTCTTGAACAATCGCATTGATTAAAGTGCTTTTACCGGACCCAGCCTTTCCCTGTATTATCACACGTTTAATTATCTGATCGGAGATGTCACCTATGTCGGACTGGATGTGATTAATCTGAGTTCTACAAATCTGTATAACTTTCAGTTGTTCCGGAGATAAGGTTAATTCTTTCAAATTACTAGAGTTATTTATCGATCGTGTTGCATTCTCACTTTTAAACATTTTTAAAAATGTATTAATGTCTTGCAAAGAGGGATACAGCTCGTTATGTACATTCCAATCATATGCCACGTCTATTAAACGTTGTCCTAATTTTTGATCCGATCGTTCTTTTATCGTTGACGAAACCATTTCAAACGCATTACAATACATATCCCTAGTGGATGATTCATCTTCATTATCGTCTTCAATTTCTTCTATACATGGAATTGGCAATTGGATACTGTCTATTGGCGTGACGTTATATTGCTCAAATAATGCACACCAAGGATGCTCGTTGTTATTGTCGCACAATTTAGAGAGTTCGTCTACACTTCGACGGAATGGGATGTGAAGGGTGCATTGTTGCTTGTAGTATAAATCACTATCCAAGTCATCTGATAATTTCAACGTTGGAAAAATTAAAACAACATTCTCATTGCGGCTTTTAACATAGCGAGTTCCATATACGTTGATTGTTTGTGCAAATCGAAATAATGACAGATCATTGTATATGGCAGGCCTGTCGATGTATTTATCGATTATAGATTTAGAAGTGCAATTAACGTTCATTTCGTTGAGCTGTAATCATAGTTTTATTGTATGGTATGTGGAGCATCAATTGAAGTAATCGTGAAAAATTTAAATTTATACATTACCTCATATTTTTCCCAGTTTTCTTCATAAAGTATAAGCGAGACGAAATGGCGCGTACTTTTCATCAATGACCAACCCATTAAAAGATGCACAACCTCTTGAGCAGAATAATCTCGTTCGCATACGGATGAAATGATCAGTTTCATAACGCAAGATTTGGCAGAAGAAACGTCGTTGCTATGTTTGCAGAGACTATTGATTACATTCATGTACGATAACGAAACAGTTTCACTTTTTGTTGTATACTTAACGATGTATTTAACAACTGCATTAATATCAAGTATGGGCGTAAAGTCTGTATTAGCCCTCCATATTTGTGTTACGACATTATTGAAGCGCTGCACATACGGATCGTTACGTCGTGGAAAAAACTCATGATATCCGTGCTTATCATCAATGGAGCTGCTTTCTTGAACATCTTTAGGAAATTTAAATCTGCAGTGTGTATTTGCGTTACCTCGTCTGTAGCAATGAGTTCCGCACTTTGTATGACGTTGAAAGGCATTTATTAGTTCACCCAAATCATTTTCATACTCGGCTGGCGAAATGTCAGAAAATCTTTGTTGAGAAGGATGCTTTGAACATGTTGGATTAGCACTTTTAGGATTAATGGCTGAACATAACATATCAAAATATTCTTGTATTTTTTGAATATGATCCTCAGACATGTCATCA